GCTGGGAATGTCTGGGAATGGGGTAGGAATGGCTGGGAATGGGCTGGGAATGACTGGAAATGGGGTGGGAATGTCTGGGAATGGGGTAAGAATGGCTGGGAATGGGCTGGGAGTGGTGGGAATGGGATGGGAATGTCTGGGAATGGTGGGAATGGACTGGGAATGACTGGGAATGGTCTGAGAATGTCTGGGAATGGTGGGAATGGACTGGGAATGACTGGGAATGGGGTGGGAGCAGAGTCTTGGTAATCCCAGCTGGAAATGGGTTTCTCTGGCAAAGTTCCTGCTTTTCCAGGAGTTGGGATCTCAGGGATCTCCTGGTGATCCCAGCTGGAAACGGAACCCTCTGGGAGAGCCTCTGGTTCCCCAGGGAACGGGATGGGGATCCCGGGGATGCCGTGGGAGCGTTCCCGGCATTCCCAGCGCTCCGGAATTCCCGGGATTCCCGCAGGCCGGAAGCACATGCGGCAGTCCACCACGGAGCACACCCGGCAGACGTTCCTGCGGCTCCAGGAGCGCCAGGTGCAATCCAAGAGGAAAAAGGGAGGCCCCAACTACGAGCGGCCTCTGACCCAGGAGGAGCTGCTGGAGGAGGCCAAGATCACCGAGGAGATCAACCTGCGATCCCTGGGTGAGCTGGGAGAGCTGGGAATGGGATCCTGGGATCGGGAATGGGGTACTGGGAATGGGGTACTGGGAATGGGAATGGGATACTGGGGATGGGAATGGGAATGGGATACTGGGAATGGGAATAGGATACTGGGAATGGGAATGGGAATGGGATACTGGGAATGGGATAATGGGATACTGGGAATGGGAATGGGATACTGGGAATGGGATCACCGAGGAGATCAACCTGCGATCCCTGGGTGAGCCAGGATTGGGAATGGGGTACTGGGAATGGGGTACTGGGAATGGGATCCTGGGAATGGGATCCTGGGAATGGGAATGGGATAATGGGAATGGGATACTGGGAATGGGATATTGGGAATGGGATCCTGGGAATGGGATCACCGAGGAGATCAACCTGCGATCCCTGGGTGAGCCAGGATTGGGAATGGGATACTGGGAATGGGATCTGGAATGGGAATGGGATACTGGGAATGGGACAGGAACCTCAGGAATGGCACCAGGACAGCAGAAATGGGACAGAGACACTGGGAACGGCATGGGGCTCCCAGGAGCTCCCCAGGGATCCCAGGAATTCCCCAGGGATCCCCAGGAGCTCCCCAGGAATTCCCCAGGGCTCCTGGGATCAGAGCTGGCCGTGCCGTAACGTCGCCGTGCCGGGCTGAGCCATTTCCCGCCCCCATTCCTGACCCCGATCCCGATCCCATTCCCGATCCCATTCCTGACCCCGATCCCGATCCCATTCCTGACCCCAATCCCGATCCCATTCCCGATCCCATTCCCGATCCCATTCCCGATCCCATTCCCGATCCCAGAGAACTACGAGCGCCTGGAGGCCGACAAGAAGAAGCAGGTGCAGAAGAAGAGGAAGATCGTGGGCCCCGTCATCCGCTACTGGTCCCTGACCATGCCCCTCCTGCCCGAGCCCGGCCGCGACGACCCCGTGGACGTCGAGGGGTGAGTGGCACCCCCAGCCCGAATCCCGGCGCAGATCCGCCCCCGGAGCTGCTCCAGGGCTTGGGCAGGGTTCCCCAGTCCCAAAATTCACGGATTTGGGGGCTGAATCCCAACCCCAGAGCTCCCCAAATCCCAAAATTCCCGCTCTGTGGGGTGGATCTGGGCACTGAATCCCAACCCAGAGCTCCCCAAATCCCAAACAAATCCCACTGGAACCTCAGTTTTTGGGGACAGTTTTGTGATCCCAAATCCCATTGGAATCTCAGTTTTTGGGAGCACCTTGATGATCCCAAATCTCATTGAAATCTCAGTTTCTGAGGCCCTAAATCCCACTGGAACCTCAGTTTTTGGGGACACTTTTGTGATCCCAAATCCCACTGGAATCTCAGTTTTTGGAGACAGTTTGACCATCCCAAATCCCACTGGAATCTCAGGTTTTGGGGTCACCTTGATGATCCCAAATCCCCTCGAAACCTCACTTTTTGGGGTCACCACCTCTTCCCCCCCAAACCCTACATCTTCCATCACCCTCCCCTCTCTCCCTCTGCCGTTCCAGGCTGGATCCCGACTCCCACTCCTCCTCCTCCTCCTCCTCGCCGTTACCCGCCGGGAAATGCTCCCGCACCTTCATCTCCTTCAGCGACGACGCCACCTTCGAGCGCTGCTTCCCCAAATCCAAAGCGCCGCGGCTGCCGGTGCGGGAGCTGTGCCCCGTCACCCACAAACCGGCGCTCTACCGCGATCCCATCACCGACATCCCCTACTCCAACGCCCGCGCCTTCCGCATCATCCGCGAGGCGTACCGCAAGTACATCACGGCGCACGGGCTGCCCAGCGCCGCCGCCATGGCCGGGGGCGGAGACGGCCCCGCCGCCGCGCGCCCGGGGAGGCAGAAAATCGTCATCAAGCAGAGCGTTCCCAGCGCCTGAAATCCCGGGATCCCGGGGATTTGGGGTTCTGGGATTTGTCGGGATTTTGGGATTTGGTGGGATCGGGATATCGGCGTGGACGGCGGCCGTGGTTTCCTTGAGGCGCTACCGGGAAGAGCGGCAGGAATTCATCATCAAATGAAACATTCCCAGTGCCTGAAATCCTGGGATTCTGGGGTGTTGGGGCATTGGGATTTTGGGATTTGGGGATTTGGGATGTTTGGGATTTGGGATGTTGGGATATTGGGTTTGGGATTTTTGGGCTCATCCACAGCGATGGTTTCGTTGAGGAGCTCCCATCTCAAACAGCAGAAATTCGTCATCAAACGAAACATTCCCAGTGCCTGAAATCCCGGGATTTTGGGGTGTTGGGGCATTGGGATTTGGGGATTTGGGATGTTTGGGGTTTTGGGGTTTTGGGATTTGGCGGGATCGGGATATCGGCGTGGACGGCGGCCGTGGTTTCCTTGAGGCGCTACCGGGAAGAGCGGCAGGAATTCATCATCAAACGAAGCGTTCCCAGTGCCTGAAATCCTGGAATTCTGGGATCTTGGGATCTCAGGACGTTGGGATTTGGGATTTAGGGATATGGGATCACCCGGAGCGGTGTTTTTGGGGGTTTTTTTTGGGGTCTCTCTTCACCAGGGGCGTTGGAGGAGGGAATAAAGTGGAGTCGGGGTTGGTTTGGGTGGGGTGGTGAGAGATCCTAAAAAAAATGGGGTGGGATCCCCTTTTTCCAAGAAATCCTACAGGAAATTTGGGGTGGGATCCCCTTTTCCACGAAATCCTACAAAATTTGGGATGGGATCCCCCTTTTCCAGGAAATCCTACAGGAAATTTGGGGTGGGATCCCCCTTTTTTTTCCAGGAAATCCTACAAAATTTGGGATGGGATCCCCTTTTTCCAGGAAATCCTACAGGAAATTTGGGATGGGATCCCCTTTTTCCAGGAAATCCTACAGGAAATTTGGGGTAGGATCCCCCTTTTTCCAGGAAATCCTACAATAACCAAGGCTCACAAACCCTTTATTTACCCTATAAATGGTTTGTGGGGTCCCTTTTCCCAGAAAATCCTAAAATAAAGTTTATGGGATCACGAAGCTCCCACAAAATTCATTCCCAGCTCCCCCCAAACCCCGTTTGGGTTTATAGGATTGGGAAGGAGCCGCTCTCCCTTTCCCAGAGGTTTTGGGATCAGGGTTTGGGATCGGGTTTGGGATCAGGATCAGGGTTTGGGATCAGGTTTGGGATCAGGGTTTGGGATCAGGTTTGGGATCAGGGTTTGGGATCAGGTTTGGGATCAGGATCGGGGTTTGGGATCAGGGTTTGGGATCAGGTTTGGGATCAGGTTTGGGATCAGGGTTTGGGATCGGGTTTGGGATCAGGGTTTGGGATCAGGTTTGGGATCAGGGTTTGGGATCAGGGTTTGGGATCAGGTTTGGGATCAGGTTTGGGATCAGGTTTGGGATCAGGTTTATCGGGTTGGGAAGGATCCCTCTCCTTTCCCCGGAGGTTTTGGGATCAGGTTTGGGATCAGGGTTTGGGATCAGGGTTTGGGATCAGGTTTATAGGGTTGGGAAGGATCCCTCTCCTTTC